ATCAGAGTTTTGTTGTCTTGAATGATTCATTCAGTCATATTCATTCATTCATTGATTTGTCACTTGTTTAAGTAATCTAAAAAAAATAAATAAAAAAATAACTCCAATTAGGGGGCCCCCTGGTGGGTTCGCTTAGTTCGCTTATGCCTCGGGCCGGCTCTGGTTGCTGTAATGCCTAGCTCCCACTACATGATTTTAAAATGTTGGGCTGAACTGTGCAGTTCACACTACATGTCTTGCTCTCAGTGAAATCATGAGTGTTCAAGTTGTTTAGCTGTTCACACCACACAACACAACGTGATTGATCCGCCACAGGAGGAAACTCACTACACGAGTTAACAACGCACTACATAGAGATACAACCACGATCGGATGATAAGAGCATATCATTTGTGACTCAATGAGAGCTGTTTCAGTACTATAGTACGGTCTAAATCATGAAAATAATCAAACAAATAACGAGTTGACAACAACACGATTCTATCTGGTCTAGAAACCATGTTTTGTAATGAAAAACCACGCAATAAAACGAACCAGAAATGACGCGAAACTGCAGAGAAGAACACAACACGCGAATATGGACGTCAGACAGAAACTAGTGCTGCACACTGTTTGCTCGACGATCTGCTCTGAGAAAAAAATGCAAAAAAGAAAAAGTAAGATTTACCTGGTGTCCTCAACCCATGCGTTGCTATGATTGGCTGTACTCATGACATCACTGAGATTGAGCCGCGCGACTGCTCGAGATATCTAGCATGCTAGATATTTTTCTGAGCTCGGTGACCTGTCTGCGAGCTGTCTGCGAGCTGTCTTTGGTGCGTTGTTGGCTCTTTCACACTAACGGATTGGCGAGCGTTAATCGTCCGCTAATCGCACGCGATTTGCACGCGATAACACCCTGACTTGTCGGCGACTCAACGATTTGCAAATCGGGCTTAAAATCACGTAGTGTGAACTAGGCTTAAATCGCATTGATTAAATCTTAACAACACGATTCTGTATGACAGTTTCCACAGAGTGCGGTGATTGACAGCAGCACTCGCCTCAAAACACTGTGTTCTTCCGTGTGGTTTCATGCCGATTTACAACCCACGTAAAGATGATAATTCCGCGAATAACTCCAGTTGCAGATTTCGAACAGAGATGGCGACAAAGAGGAAAAGCTACGGACTGCAGCTTTAAGGCGGAACCGCTGTTGTCAATATTTTAAAAAAATGTCTTTGGGCAACTTTCAAGGCCCATAAAAGCAGTAAACTTTTTGGATTTCATCAAAAATAACTTAATTTGTGTTCTGAAGATGAACGACATGAGGGTGAGTGAAAAATGACATTTAGTTTTTGAATGAACAACCCTTTAAGTGTCCCTATCTAAGCTAGCCAGAGGCGACAGTGGCATGGAACCAAAACTCCCGTCTTTGGGAGGAACCAGGATCAGCCGGGGATCCGTTCTCCTCTGGCCAAACAAACAGGATGTGATCATGATTTGGGCTGCATCACAAGTCAGATTATGGTTTGATATAAGTCAAGTTAAGTCACATTTATTTGTATAGCGCTTTTCACAATACAGATTGTATCAAAGCAGCTTCACAGTGATAACATGAAAGTAGTACAACACAGATCAATAATATTGCTAAACACTAAATAACCCCAACTGAGCAAGCTCAAAGCAAGGCCACAGTGGCAAGGAACCAAAACTCCATCAGATTGGATGGAGAAAAAACCTTGGGAGAACCCAGGCTCAGTCGGGGGCCAGTTCTCCTCTGGCTTACATTTATATTGTTTATATATATATAATTCAGAATGTTTCATCCAGCTCACGCCAGCGTATGGAGTACTGCTACAGAATCAATTATCAAACATGGGCCTCATTTATAAAAGTTGCGTAAAACCCCCCCTACATTTAATCTTACGATAACTTCTTCCAAATGTTAAATTCATTAAACGCAAAAGTCTTGGTTTCAGATCTCCGCCTTGTAAACGCCACATAATTAGTGTCAAAATGCTTTACTTGGGAATGGTGACGGCAAGAATTGCTCAGATTTCCAAATACCTGCAGTACAACAATTATATGCCACAAGGAAAAGTGCATATGTCTGTTTGGACCATGTTGTGTGCTCCCAGATCAAATCTGAGCGTATGCACATTTTTATGAATGTGGCCAATGGTGAGTCATGACATCGTCTCCTGTTATTGTCACTTGCACTGCTTGCTACATGTTTAACAGAGCCTTCTCTGTCAGCGGTGAGGATTTCACATGTGATAAATGCAGGGAAGGCTGAAAAAGATGATTTCAGAATTGGAGACATGCATCCAAACTTTAATAGAAGATAGTAAAATTGTAAGGGCTTTCGGTTCTGGCTGTAGAGCCAGGGCAGCTGGGTGAAGTCACAGGTTTTCAGAAATTTCAAAGTGTTGGCTAATGCTAATCGTAAATTCGTTAAGATTATTATTCACGTCGTCACTAATAATGTTCGACTCACCAGTCGGAGATCACCAAAATTAATATTATAGAGGTGTGCGTGAACTCGCAAGTATGACATCAGTCACTGTAATTTGCTCTGACCCCTTTCCTGTTCACAGGAGTGATGAGATAGTCAGTAGACTGTCCTCACTCAATGGCTGACTGTCGAAGTGGTGTCTGCAAAATAACATGTTTTATAAATAATTGGAAATAGTTTTTGGGGCAGACCTTAACTGTTGAAGAGATGGTGTTCATCCCTCCTGGGATGGTGCTGCTCTTGTGTCTAGTAATATGGCACATAGTCTTAGAGCTCAAATGTGACAATCTGGGGCTCAGGTCAGGAAGCAGACAAACTGGCTAAACCGACCGTCTGCTAGATAAATCCCATCATATAGAGCCTCTTTCACCTAGATATTATATTCAGACTGCCTGTTTCCTGAACTAGGAAGAATCTCCCAAACCCATGGTAAAAATGCAATTGTTCAACAAATAAAAGATAATGCAGATGAACAAGTGATTAAGCTCGGGTTGCTGAATATTCGATCCCTTTCATGAAAAGCACTTCTTGTAAATTATATGATTTCAGATCATAACCTAGATGTGGTGTGTTTGACAGAAATCTGGCTAAAACCATACGAGTACATTACCTTAAATGTGACCAACCTGCAAGAAAACAGTTATAAACATGACTTTTCTGAAAGGTAAAGGGGGAGGTGTTGCTGTAATTTATAGTAATCTCTTCAGTGTTACTTGTGGCAGAGTTGAAATGACAATCCAAAAGGCTGAATAGGTGTCTGGTATGTTAACATAACACATTAACAGTTATTCCCCTACACAATAGCATAAAGAACATACACCTGGGAGACTGAGTAGGCTAAACTAACACAAGCCAACGAATGCACCAAGCAAGTTACCGGTGGGCAAGTTCACCAAGCTCCCGATCTCATTCCACATCACTGAATCCATTGAGGTCTTCATCCTCGGTGTCGCTTCTGAACAACTCCCTCGCGGCTGTAGACGGTAACGTTTTCTCTTGGTTCATCTCAGTCTGAATTAATTTTGATATAGTAAAAAAAAAAGTATCACTTTCAGTTTGGAAAATATGGTAAATCAATGTACTCTTCACCCATTTCTGTTGCCAAATTGGGGAAAAAGGGAAATGAGATGATGGTAATTGAAACTAAAGGGGGAAGTGGTTAAAAAGACGTATGGGTTGTGGTTTTGTGCAATACGTGGTGAGAACTGTAGAGAAGTCTAAAGAAGAATGGGAAAGACGTTGGCTCTCAGTACCTCACCATCACCAATGTAGCATGGCGAAGGTAAGTTCCTAGCTACAGGTCTCGCAAAATTGCTAGCCCGTCCCAGGGCTGTTGTGTTTTCCAGTCGGGCAACCAAAATGCGTAACCGGCCTGCCCAAGGGGCTATCTAAAAATAGTGTAGGCTATTCAGATTCCCCCCTAAACTTCTACCTAGCCCCCCTACAAATGTGTGATTTAAGCTACACAAATTCCTGTTCGCTTCAGTCTTGCTATAATCAGATTCAGCCTGTTCTTCATTGACAATTTTTGTTTTGTCAAATGTTAAACGAATGACAAAAATAATAAGCAAAACTAATATTATTTCGCCACTTTGAAGTGAAAATAGGCCTATGTAACGTTACTCATAATTAGTTTACTGTGAGGGGACAAACAAACAAAGCCGTTTTCAAGATTAAAAATGAATGTGTACATGTATTAATATAATACAATTTATTATAAAGTGGGGAAGGGAAGAGATGGGGCAAGATGAGGGGACTGAGAAAAAGAGTGATGGAGATGTGAGCAGGTATTGACAAATAATCTACTGCATGCTGACATGGTTTTAAAGCTATTTCTTATCCTCTTTTCGTTCAAAACATCTTACAATGCACACGTAGATCAGAGAAATCAAAAATTTCTCGGACCCTCCTAACTAGCCTACGTCACATTCGGGACCTCAGTGATTATAAAACCCCGCCGACAAACGCTTTTTGCCAGTATATTGTGCTGTGGACATCCAAAGAACATCTTTATTGGCGTAGAGGAGCTCCAACACGCCACAGCGGCTGGTCATTTTGCTGCAGTGAGCGCTGGTAAGCCTGGCTATTGAATCTGTTTGTGTTGCTTGCTGTGTTTTCACTTGTCGAGTAACATGTATTTCTCGATCTACAGCATTGGGTAAGGCAGATATATCCCTGTGGAAGGATAAGGCTTGGGTACTGATGGAGCAGCTGTGATGGTTTGGAGGATTGGGGGTGTTGCCACACTTCTTCGTGCTAAAGTTCCCCAGCTGATGAATATCCAGTGCCTAATCCATGGCCTGGAGTTGGCTGCCATGGATGCTATAAAAGACCAATAAAGAATGAGGAAGGCAAATAACAAGGAAGTAAAAAGCCAACATTTAGCAACTTCTGTATAGTAAACTGAGAATATCATGTCCTACACAAACCCAACATGTTATGTGCTGCTTAAGCTAATTTGTATAATTATCATACTCTTATAATTCTAATTCAGGTGATGGACATACTGAAGGGGCTGCATAAACAGCATCATCGCTCTCCAAAAGCGTGGAGAGAGTTGAAATATCTGGCAGATGTCTTCAACCAAAAGGTCTGGAGGATGACCAACTTGGGAGGGACAAGGTGGCTCCAACACATGGAGAGGGCACTCAGGGTCTTGCTGAAAAACTACCCAGTATTGCTTTCCCAGATGGAAAACTCAGTAGTAATACATTCCTGTTTCCTAATCATACTTAATCAATCCTGGTCAACATTAATTCTTATTTGTTTTCTTTTGTTTTTTAAATCAAACAGATCATCAAGTGCTGAAATGATTGGACCAGCCAAGCAGTGCCTTCAGGTGTTGAAAGATATTCAATGCCTTCTCTTCATCATGCTGGTCCAATACATCATAGAAGTCTTGAGTTGGAAAGTTTCTATTAAATATAATCTGATAGGCAGGAATATATATAAAAATATAAGGCAGAAAAGTGTGTGGAGGGCTTCCTAGCTGAAACCAAGAATGGGACCTATCAAAATCTTAAGCTGTTAAGGTAAGGGACAGCAGAGAAGAGTTTTCCAACTATATATTTAAACAAGATGGATGACATAATTTCTTTTTAAGGAGTTAAGTTCTGGGACATTATACGTAATTACGTATTTTTTTTCTCCAGTGTGAAGCGGACGCTCCTGCGCAGGGGGATTGCCAGGCTATAGTCCCGACTTAAGGGGGTTGAGTCTAATCCGGTGCTGCGGCAAAACTGGTGGATCCTCGCGAGATCCTCCTGATCATCAAGAACTAGCATGCTATGGCAGGGACCACCTTGCCACGGTCTGTGATCACTTTGCTAATGTCCTTGACCGGATTTGACATTTTGGGACGAAGCGCAGCGTGTGGAGTGGCCTGCTGCTAAGGTCCTTATTACAGAGCCCACAGAGGAATGCTTGGCAAGACTTTTTTTCTGGATAATGAGTGAGAGAGTAGCTTCCCCGACCACCTCCTCATTGTGGAGCCCATCTTGGTCTTCCCTCTGTCCATGGCAACAGTCGAGAGGGGCTTCAGTGCCATGAAGAGTACAAAGACTGACTGGAGGAACAGCTTGAGCATTGAAATGCTGAAGAGCTTGCTCTTCATTAGCTTGGAGGGTCCCAACTTGGAGCACTTCATCCCCATGCCAACAGTGAAGAGGTGGCTCATGGAGGCGGAAAGGAGGAGTTTCCGGTGAATAAAATGGACCGCTGTAGGAGAATAAGGGAGGGGCCCATGGTGCTGGAGGTTAAGGTTTTCTTTCTACCCTAACCTGTCCTGGTTCCTGATGTGGCCATTATTCTTTCAGTGTTTGTCCCTGTCTGCTACAGTTTTTAAATAGTTTATATAAAAAGCTCACTTTTTCTGAGGCTTTTTTTCTTTGTCATATGACATTAACTTGCATATCATTGAGTAAGACTGTTGGTTGTACAAAAACAAAATCGTTTAATTGAGAAAATAATGCAGATTGATATATTTTTTTGAAATAACATACTTATTTTACGCTTGCCTTATATGGTAGTTCCCTATTATTTATTTTTATGATAACAATTTAAATGTTTGGCATTAACTGTTGGAAATTAATTATTTTAATTTCAGTAAGGCAACTGACTGAGTTCAAAGAGTTGCATGTACAAAAACTGGGAAAACTATAAGTTTTTGACTATAAGTCAAAATATTTGTATTTTACTTTAAAGTTTAAATGTTTATATGTAATGTAAATGTGTTTAAAAAAGAAAAGGGAAGATGTAATGATAGTGGTTGGTTTTATGGAGTAGTGGCAAACCTGTCTAGTATATGTATATGTTTGGCAACCTTGTCTAGTATATGTTTGTGCATGTGCAGAAGGTGGGCAGAAACTATTAGCATGGTGCTATAAATCTAAACTTATACTCATCTATGGCTCAGGAGTCTGTGATTGATCATCCCAACTAAAACACTATTAGGTTGAAAAGACTATTTGTAAAGCTGTTTCATGACGTCTCTGGGTCAGCACAGCTTTAAAAGTTGATGATTTTGTAAAAGGTGTAATTGACAAATCAATTGAAGCAAATCGTGAGTTTGAATCAAGGTCATGTTTTTTTAAAAGATGAATTGTTCAGCTCTATAGACCTTTTTCACAAAAACCGGAAATACGTAATCGTTGTGGAAACGGAGTTCCCGTCAACTGTCGACACATTAGAAAAACCTAGTTATTTCATCAGGGAGAGGTGATTGTTTCCAGTTTTATTGATTTTCTTAAGACATTAAGGAAACAAATAAGCCTATTATTATTAAATTCTGTGTGACTTGTTTCAGTAAACCATAAAGCAATTGTCTAAACTAACTGTTAAGTTTCCGGTCAAGGAAAATGGGCATTGGTTGAAAAATGATTAAGAAGTCTTGTGGTTAAGCACACCTTTTCTATATATGTTTTTTTTTTTTTTTTTTTTAGAAAATCATTCCTGTTCCCCAGTATTAAACACAAACATGGCACACATGAACAATGTGGTGATGAACCAGGTCAATGACATCATCACTAGTGTGCCAGCCAGGTGCTATTTTGACATTGTGTGTGGAGTGCCGGAATAGTGTAGTGTGTATTGTATGTTGACTATGTATTTTAAATGATACACAGTAAAATAGGTAGTGTCAAATTAACACTTAAAGTGTTCATTTTAACACTACTCCGGATCATATATGGTCCCATTCTATCTAGAGTAAAAAGTAGACTGTAGTGTTGATTTTACGGTGTTAAAAAAGCACCATATAGTGCAAAAAACGTACACCATCAGAGTAAAATGTTACACTTTCTATTGTTGAAATAGTTTTGACGCGAATGAAATAGTTGAAATAGTTTTGACGCGTAAAGAATGACGCGTCTGACGTTGGTTCAACGGTAATTCGATGAGCAAAACAATGTCAGATCAACGTTGTTTCGATGTCATATTTCCACGTTGATTCAATGTCAGTTTGCTATCTGGGTTGACATTAAAGACTTTCAGAGAATCACTGGGTCTTGGATCAATTCTGTAGGCATACAGATGTTCATCAAAACAAACAGTTTTAAGTTGCGATGCCACCAGTGACACACATTCGTTTCTAACAACAATATCTTGGATTTTGTAAAACACTGGCAAATCAAGGTTTACTTCACCACAGATAATTAATGTAGAACGATATTCAGTACCATTACACTTCACCCATTTCACGGAGACAACATTGGTTTGTGTTGGAACGTTCAACTTGGATGCAATCTCTAAAGTTTCATTCAAGTCACTGAGAGAGACAGTCTTTCCTGGTCCAAGCACTATTCTGTCATGGTTGAAGGTCTCCCAGTTATATGCCATCCAATTCTGATGTTGAAGCTGATGTTTGATGTCGATTCTTGAAACACTTTTGTTGCATCTTGAAAAAATTGTGTTTTGACTCGTATCGCATGGACCACATGTGCAACAATCGGCCCGATATTTCTTATACATCCTGGATAGTGAGTCATTAAATGATATAAGTACTTGAAAAGCCTGTGATGTTCAGCAATCAAGTGTTTTAAGTAAACAGTAAGGCCCTCAGTTAAAATGGGAGAAAAAGCAATGTTTACTATTTGCAGTAACAGTAGTAGTAGCTGCCAGTATTTATCATCTTGGGGCACAATGTCTCCGAATATTAGTGGTACATTCCGGAGTAGACACCAACACTGAATTGCATTTATGCCCAAATCATTGCTCTGATCATCCAGTTTTACAGCAGGGGGTCGATTTCTTCTCTCCATGTACCCATAGTTAAATGACTGCAATCTGCCATCTAACTCTTTTGCTGTCAAAAAACTCCCTTGTACATAACGCAAAACAAGTTAACTCAAACTGCGCAACACCCTCTAAAACATCACGCATTATGTCTACAGAAAAGTTGTCCGATACACTGAAGTACTGCAGAGTGTTCAACAAACTTGTGCGTTTCACACCACAAACATGAGTTAGTGTTGGGTCTGATTGTATGGCTTCACAGTGTTGCAAGTGTGTCTCTTTCGTGCGCAAAGTCACATTTGGCTCATCATCACAGAACGCAGATTGATAATCTTCCATTTTATTTAGGCAAAACCTACAGCAATATAGAACTCTAAAAGATTCAACATATCCAAAAAGGCAGTGCAAACCGAGATTGTCTCCCGTTACTTGGACAATGCTGCCACGCACAGTAGCCTACCACCAAGACCTTTATTCCCCTGGTCTCAAGAACTTTAATGTCATTGATAATAGGTTCCAATAAAAAGTGCACATAAATGTATGTTTGCTAAAGATGAATTAAAGGTGCTATCTGTAAAAAGTTAGGTTAAAATATCCCCAAAATGAGCTACACGCATCAAAAGAATGAGAAGAAATAAGGTTGATGATGTAATTTAAAAAATGACAAGTTATAGTGCTGCCGAAGTATTAACCTGAATTAGCATGCTAAATTACTAGCCCCGCGGCCCGGCAGGTGTCGTAATACCAGTTTCGGCCATGGGAGGCGGTATGCGGGCGGGCAACATTACCACCAGCCAAACTGCAATAGACGAGTAACTCGTGTGGCTTGTGTGTACTTGAAACTGATGTCAGTCGTGTGGAAATACAGCCCACTACTACATTTCAGTTCAGGGAAGAGTTCAAAAAATGATTGGTCGATATTATGCATAAGGAATACATTTTGGTAAGTTGTAGCATACTGTATCTTTCAACAGTGTTCGTGTTCTTTTACCATTAGCTAGTAGAGATGATCGGTTCACGTGCGTTAGGGATCTGTCGTGTAAAGCGCCAAAACTGTATTTATTGTTTGAATTGCGTAATAAAATGAACAGAATGTTCATTGAATGTCCTTTTCTGTGCATGACAAAATTGATGTGTGGCGTGAGAGTGTGTGAAAGAGTTGGCAGCTCTGAAAGACGCTAGCTTGGTCCATAACAGGGAATGCTGTCTGTCAAATTAATTCAAACTAATGATAAAAATGTAATATGAACAAAACTAATATCATAAAACTAGAAATAATAGCCTGGGCTTTAATTTTCCCATATCCTCGAAATGCACCGACTTGTCTATGAGACGGCCTTTATAATTTAGTAGTCTCTAATCTGTAAAAATCTTCAAATGCTCCACGTGAAACTGCGGTCTTAATATGCACGAGGGAGACAGCTCCGCCCGTGTTGCTTGAAGACATGAGAGTGTGTGTGGCCGTGGAGGTATTTCTGGAGGTATACTGCCCCCATCTGGTATGGAATATGTTGTATGATTTGATTTTAAATGCCAGAGGGCACCTTTAAATTGTGGTGGGAAATTTCTCAAAGTAAAGTATATACCCCCCAATTTGTGATTTCCCTTCTTTGATCCCAATGGATTGGCAGTCTCGAAATCATCGTAAAATCATCGTTGAATTTGAAGTGCATTTTTTTCAGTGGAAAACAGGGGATGGCTCTTAATATACTGTCCGTCTTCAATATCAGTGTAAATGCCATCTTTATTTGGTATGCCCGACTTGAACCTGCACAAGGTGTTTGGATGCATTAAAATGCTCGAACATACGAAAATCTGTCAGTCACAGGAACTTGTTTAAATATTCCAGTAGTCCGGTTCTTCCTGTTGTCAAATCTGACCTCAAGTACTTTCTCCACAGGCTGAACAATACCCCATTTTTTTTTTTGTAAAATATGAGTTTCGTTTAGAAATGGAATTAAGTAAGGTGAAAGTGTTTTCTATTTCCTGAAATGATTGCTCTACAGGGACGTGGGAACTATATTGTGAGAGGGGGGGCGGGAGGTTCACCGTTCAGTGTGGTCGCTCCAATTTACCTTCAATGAAATCTAACCTTAGTGTAATTGACAGAATTACTAAAAAATATTTTGCTACTTAAAGTAAAAGATTTTTAAGAAATCTCAAGAGATGGTGGATGTGTGAAATTTCATGTTTTTTGATTGACGTTAGTCTACTAGAATTTTCTAAAAAATATTTTGCTATACCTAAACGTTATAAGTCTATTTCCCTCATTTTACATATACAGTAAAACGCATGTGGACTGATATTTTTCCATTTTCTGGCCTCCTTTATTAATGGAGTATATAAACAGACGTTTCAATATATTGGTATTAAATGCATTTTCTGAGACTTTATATTTCAAATTTTTACTGCAAATGTCGAAATTCGCTTTCTTTGGTCCATCAGTGCTTGAGTTGAGTTGGACTGATAACGTTGGAATAAAAAATCTCATAATAAAATACAAAATTGACTGATTTATGAATGTATATGCATAGTTCTCATCAGTCAGAAAAACAGATAAACGCATTCAGTTGTTGTATTTTTGATCCTGAAAGAAAACAGCACAACAAAAGAACGAATCATAGGCATACATGGAGTACGTTTTATGCTTCTTACGCAGACGTTTGGGACTAGTGTCAAAGCGCAATGAATGAAATGCACGAATGGTAATTTAATAGACCCCCTGAAATTAACGAGGGAGAGCTGTGTTTTATTTTCACAACATTTCATATAGTTTGGAACATGAAAATGCATAATATCAAGCCACCGAACGAACATATAGAGCACTATTGAAATAGTTGACAGGTATGAACATGCTAGACACATACGCTACTCAAAAAGTGCATTAAACCAAACAATTAATTCATGCATTTCCAAAGGTGGATCTTCTTTCAGTTGTTCGACTTATAAATTGTTTTATTAGAGTCGAGACATCGATTTCATCCAGGAGATCACTGTGGGCATTCATAATGGCCAAGTGCGTTAGTCTCTCCTGTGACATGGTGTTACGCAGCCAGGTTTTCAACCTGCGCAAAGCCGAGAAGGATCGCTCTGATGCAGCGACAGATATGGGCAGGCACAGGCATAGTTTGATGAGCTTTTCCACCTCTGACAGCATGGAACGGGTTTGTGGTTGCGTGGTTTGGAGAATGGACACAACATCCCGAATTGTGTTAACTTCCCGCCCTGTACAGATATCCCGCAGTATGTCCAACTCACGACTCAGTCGCTCTCTTGTAAAAACGGTGAGTTTCAGGGAAGTCACATTCACTTTTTTTCCTTGAGCTGCCTCAATAATCGCCTGCTCTCGCCCTGCAGCAACTTGGATTCCGACCTGGTCAAAACGCCTCTCCACTTCTGAGCGCACCAGGTCCAGCGCCTCAAACATCTCCCTTTTCCACACGTTCGGATAGACTGAAAACAGATATATAATAAAAAATAACCTTAGCCTACTACAACTGAAAAGACCAATTGTGTATTTTTTATTACAAATATTTACCATCCACTTCACTGCGCA